AGAAGAGAACAGGTTGTACTGTGTTTGTGTTTAACTGTAGTTTGTTTGACTCGTGTTGTGTGTTAGGATGATGAGTCGGAAAGATGGTGGTGTTGAGAAAGGAAAAGGAAAGAAGAAGCAGAAACATTCTGTTACAAATGGTGACCATATTCCCATTGATGCATTTTTTACAAAAAGGAGTTAGAATTTTTTAGTATTTTATTTTATATTTATGTGTAAAATAATCCAACAATTAATAATTTAATATATGTAATTATGTATATCTTGTTCATAGTTAATGATTGTGATCATTGTTCCAAAAAGTTATGGTTACCAAGAGGAATAGATTGTGTAAAATTTTAACTTGATGGAGACATGACAAATATATATCATGTAAGTGTGTTCTTTTTTTTGACTTGATATTAAAAGTTCGACTATAATTTTTTTCTCTTATTGACTAGTTGTTTCTATTTTAGTTATCTTGATTGGTCATTATCAAAGTTTAGATGTTAATTTTATAAAATGATAAAATGATGTATATATCATTAATAATACTTTCTAAAACAACTTTTTGACAATAAACTATCACTTACAAGAATGATATCTATTTTGTTGAGTATATGAGTCTTTATCTTCAACACATTTGTTGTTGCAACATGCAAGAATAATGCAAGTTTCAAGAGAAGATAAACGAACAAGATGAAGCGTTACTACACGCAATCTATTCAAACGAATACATTTTTTTTTTTTTTGCAAAGTAGTTTGTTTCTCAAAAACATACATGATCTATGTGTTTGGTTCATCAAATTTTGACATACTTGGACGACAATATTGTATGGATTTTCAACTTTGTGAAGATTTTGTCTTGATTTCCTATTCCAGGTTTTGAATATGGATTTCACCAAATAATCCAATCCACCTTGATTTTATGTATTAGATTTGAATAGATAACAACATAAGCAGAATGCGACATTTTATTTTCTACTATATTTTAACCAATATTTATTATCATCAAACCAAGATATATTAAATATTCGAGTTTTACCTCCAAAATCAGGATGTGGAAAATCATGAAAATCATGGTTTTGAGGTTAACAATATCATTTTTGCAAGTATACTCTTCTAATTTCATCCTTTTGATTCCCATGATAATATTCCATACTTGGTCCTTCTATAAGATCAACATGTAGTGAATTTAAATCAAATTCATGTACTTATGTAAAAAAATATAAAACTATCAACTTCTCATTAAAAAACAAGTCTACTTATAAGATAAATCTCACTACATAGATACTACCCTACACTTTCCTCAATATTGTTCTATTGTTCTATCCTAACAAAGATCAAGAATATGAAACCCTAACTAAGAGTTCTAAGAGATAGCAAAACAGACAGAGCATCAGATACATAGGGATGATAATCCAAACCCAAAACTGTCAATACAATCTGAACCCAACCCAATAAATAACATGTTGGGTTGAGTTTTTGAACCCATTTAACTAAATAGGTCAAACCATCTAACCCGTTTAATTAAATGGGTTGAGTTAGGGTTGAAATTCCTAACCCGTTTACAACCCGTCAATCTGTTTAAAACTTTTAAATATTTTTTAATTTATATTTATTTGGTATTATTATTTAGTTTATCATTAAATTTGATTATTTTTATTTATCAAAAACCATGGGTCAGCAACCGTTACTGGAATTCGAGTTGGTAAAAGTAATAGTCAAGTTACACAGAATTTAGAAATTAAATATTTATAATGTTTTATGATTGTCAACACTTGATTTGTATTTGTGTTATGGGGTTATAAACTTATTGTTGTATTATTTTCAAACTTGAACAATTATTATACCTTTTACATTGTAGGTAATTTTATTTGATGGATTATTTGATTTTTAAGGTGTTTTTTGTGAACAATTAAACGAGTTAATCCAGGTTTAACCTGTGTAATAAATAGGTTATGTTGAAAAAAATAATAAACAGGTTAACATGATTTCAACTCATTTACTAAAAACGTTGGGGTTTGATTGAGTTGAGTTACGAATTCTCAACCCGTTTACTTAAAGAGATTGGATTAAGTAAGGTTCTCAAACTCATTTAATTAAAACCCAACCCATTAACACCCCTATAGATTATTAATTTGGAAAGTATATTATGAGGTCAAAATAAAAACCTAACTCTTCTTAATATATATATATATATATATATATATATATATATATATATATATATATATATATATATATATATATATATATATATATTTTGACCATTTGATTTAATGTGAATCCTAATGTATGATTAAATTGTGACCATTTGATTTTAAAAAAAAATAATTATGATCTTAGGATGCATGATGTTAATATGAGGTAGCATTTACAATATCATTAAAACTAATTAATTGTAGACCTATTAAATAGTAAGTATAACGTTTTATTAAGAGAGAAAAATTAAGTAACTAAATTTTTGGAAACCAAGTTAAATCGATTAAATCTAGATTATTATTTTTAAAATTCAAATCATTTATCAGGAAATCATAATACCTGCAATAAAAAAAAATTGAACAATAAGGCACAATGTAAACATTTGTTTCATTCTTTAAGAATCATTCGATCTAATGAAACATGTTTTATTCTTTAAGAATTTAGACGATTACATTCCCATTTTAAAAAAAATACAAAAAATATACAGTACTCACTAAGTATGAAATAAAGAATCAGAAATTTAATTACGTTAAAATCAATAATTTACTTGAAAGGAACATAATTCTTTAGTAATCACATTTCATTCTCTAAAAATGCATTGATTGATAAACGATTTTTCAATCTACTCTCATAAAAAATTCATCAAATATTGTATAACATATTTTTGATATGCATACAATATTCATTTTACAGATTCACCATGGCTATAGATCAATTAGAAATTCTTGAAGAATATGAAAAGAAATTACACTTCAAAAGATTTTACACTTCAAAAGATTTTACACAATATAGAATAGTCTTGAAAAATATACAATAAAATAATCAATTTTTTGTATGAATTCTAAAATAATAAGGATTCATTTGACAAAATCAATAATTTTGAAAATACAAATCCAATTCTAATAGATGTTAGCCGATTTGGTCGCCAAACATTATTTTACAAGTTTTAAAGTCGACCAATAATAATTGGAAAAAAAAAACATTTTTTCTATGTTTTTCTTATCTAACGTCATAAAATCCAAAACAAATGGAAAAGATGTATATTCTTTTTGTGTGTTTCTTCCAAAACCTATCTTACACCAAGAATAATTAACTATTTCTTCTAGAGTACCAAGAGGACGTCTACTTCACTATCCCGTTCTAGACTTCAAAGAAAAAATAGCTTCATCTAATTTACATATAATTTTAGGATAGTTCGTTTAAAATTAATATATTAAATTATAAATTAATTACCATCATAATTCTATCAAATAATTGGTCCAAAATTGGTTATATATTCACACTATATATATATATATATATATATATATATATATATATATATATATATATATATATATATATATAAGCTTAGATTATTTTATTCAAAGTAATTATTGTGTTATTGTATGCATAAATATAAGCCAATCAATTTTACTTATTTTAAGAAAATGATTAATATATATTATTGAATTAAATATAATTAAAAAATATCATTTAAATTAATTACAAGGGTATTTTAGTCAATTAATATAGATTTAATAAAGGAAAATTGCATTTTTTAAGGAATCATAGATTCTATTAGTTTTAAAAATCCGATTTTATGAATTATAATTTTTTTAATTCGGACATTCTGATAGAATATGTTTATGAGTTTATTCAAAAATAAAAATATTCTTGAACCATAAATAATAATAATATTATTGAACATATTTCTTGATCATGACTTTAAAAACTTCTTTTAGAATAACAAATTGTTGAACAATCAATTAAAGAATAAAAACTAAAAATATATTATTTCTTATAGAATATGGGGAACAATTGTTAAGAATTACATTTATTATTAAAGAATAAAACTAAAAAAACTTTCAAAACGGGAAAGAAAACATCAAAATCTAACGATACTAATACATTCTAAAAGAATAATGTTGCTTAGAATCACTTTCAACTTTGTGGTCCGTTCTTCAAGCATCGACTTCTATGAAAACAAAATCAAATTGTAGTTTAGATTCCAATAATGTATTAGCAAATGAAAGATAAAAAACTAAATTCCTTTGAAAAAATATGTGGGCTTGTGAATTGCACCAAAACCAATAACCAAGAATTATAGAACATGTATAAATTAGTGAGAAAATATCCATACTCCATTCCAACAGAATTAGAAGTCATGATTCTATTCCAACATAATTGGAATTCGTGATTCCATTCCAATAGAATTGGAATCTCACCAATATCATCCATTGAATCATCTACATAAACAAATTGATTTTTGTCATATAAGAAGAAGTAAATTTGATATGAAATGATACCATTTTTTTTACCCCTCTTGCTCATTAGTAATTACTCTTTTTCCCCTTTTACCCTTCATTTTCCCTTTTTACCCTTCCTTTTGTATGTGTGTAATGTAACAGTGGCCTAGCACAAACTTTTACATGCAACATGTAGAATGAAGTATGTTCTATACCCGTATGTATAACTATTTTCCCTTTTTACCCTTCCTTTTTTGGTTCGTGAATCAACCAAGAACACCTCCTTTGGAGGTGTTGCTTTCCCAGTAAGAAACACAAGGTTGAACCTCTTGTTCTACATTTCATTGTTCCTGTCAAGCAAAACAATAAACCCAAACACCCGTTAAACCATCAATTTATGTAAAAACACTCAAAACCAAACATCCAGTTCATCCATTGATACCAGTCGACACAAAAAAAAATGAATGAATCAAGAGTATTACCTATTGTTGCTTCGTCCTTAGCCTTCAATCCAATTGTTTCCCATTTCTTCGTGTTTATTCCCATTTAACAAATGTCGCTGAACACTCTCCCGGGGTCATTGTCGCTTCAATCGAACCAATCCTCACACCCATCTCCTCCTTTTCTCTTTACAAAAACCATTGGATTTCCTCCCCGTTCGCCCCTTGCTACTGGAAACGAAGCAAACAGTCGAGAGGCTACTTGAGTCCTCGTTACACCCATAGAAGCCACAACAGCCTCACTGCGATTCCCGTTTCTTGTCTTCGGCCTCATCGAGCCCGGAGACGACCATTCTCTTCCCGATAGATCGTTCAGTCGCTGCCTTATGTCGTTTCCTCCGCTCGCAATCGATCGGCAAATCATTGTGCCCTGTGAGCCTTCACTATGACCGTTCCGTTCATAAGCCACCATTACGAGTGATCGATTACCACCACCGGAAACGCAACTGAGGCCTTCCACCAATCGACAGCACCCCCAAACGATTCTTGCACCCGATTTCTTGAGTCTCCGTGACCTGCGCTCGTTGATCTGCCTTCGTCCATCTTTGCCTGATCAAAAGGAACACGAGTTTAAAAGCCCTAATCATTTAAGTGGATCCACTTATAAATCAATATCATGATTATAGGGATTATTTTTGGAAGTTACAAAACAAATTACTAAATTACCCTTATTTTTTTATTATTTAATTTTGATTGACCCACATTGATGCATACAATAACACAATAATTACTTTAAATATCTGAACCTAACTCTCTCTCTCTCTCTATATATATATATATATATATATATATATATATATATATATATATATATATATATATATATATATAACGTAGATGAATACGTTATGCCTCACTATACTAGGGATGTCAAAAAGTCACGTGGGACACCGAACCTGTGGGACCCTGGTCTTGTATGGGGGATATTTGTTTAATAAACCAGGGATAGGGCGAGGTGATGACAATGTTAACCTCCGTTTTATTTTTAGGTGGGGGCGGAGGTGGGCAGTCCCATCCCAAACCCCCAATGGGGGCCCGTTAATATATATATATATATATATAAATATATATATAATTATATATATATATATATATATAATATATATATATATATATATATATAAAATTTTGAGCTTTTAAAATTAAACAAAATATCATATTTTTAACTTGTTAGTGTAACGTTTGTGAAATTTTATAATATTTTTATTTTTAACATGGAAAATTCTAGTTTATATAACTATTTTTTTAACAAAAAATAGTTTTTTTAGCCTAAAAAAATACAACAAACTGGGAGGGGGGGATAGAGATTTCGGGGCGAGGGCAGGGCGGGAGAATGGGGGAATTTTGGGGGCGAGGGCGGGGCGGGAGAATGGGGAATTTCGGGGGTGGGGGTGGGGGCGGGGGATGCAACTCCCGCCCCATTTGTCCCCGTTGACATCCATAACATGGATAAAACTATCACTATACAATACTCCACGCATACAAGCTTTTAAAGTTGCATCTCTACTTTGATAGAAAAATACCCAACAACTCGTCAACCTTTAGTGCCAAGTTCCAAAAATGTTCAACTTTAGTTCCCAACAAACTTGCACTACGCGGTTAGGTGATTAAGATTGTAAGGTAATAGAAATTGACACAATCAATTCTGATTTCTTTGTAACAAAGGACAAGTGACAAATGTACATTCAAAGTAGCAAGAACTAAAGAAGTATAAAAAAATGTTTCATTATCAAACAAATGAACAATCATTCAATCAATATTTTTGTTATGATTTATAGGACTCAAGAATCAAGACAAAACAACAATCACAATTTTCAGAATTAATCTTAGTTTTTGATTCTTAATTCGACTTCCCTTCTTGCATGCGTTGTTTTTTCACGTGATCCCACCGGTATGTTTCATTACCTTGAGATGATCGGTTATCTCCTGGCGAAGACTCGTTCCACCGTGCTCGTGCTCAACCATCAACCAATCAATGAAATTGAAATCATCAAGGTGGGCGACTGGGCGGTACCATCAAAGTCAGGAATCTCAACTTTGATACCCAAAGTGCGTACATGATCTTCTGAAAATTCCGTTGGTTATCATCTCCTCATATTCGCCCCTTCCTCCCGCATTGGAATATGTCTCAGTCTCCTCTTCTCGCACCTCTCTTAAATCTTAATAGTTGGAATATGGTTGACTCCATCGGCGTCTCTACGAGGTTGATTGCGAGGGCGTCCATGTCCGACCATTTGCAATACCAAATGATGCAAACAGTACTCAAATGGTCAAGAATCACAGATGCAAACAGAAAAGGTCTCGTTCTTTTCTATTCATCAAAAAAATAAAAATCCCAAACAAATAGCAAATAAGATACTTATGACGACTCCAAAGTCTGAACGGCATCAAAAGAAGATAAAGCCTAATCCCTAATTAATGGGTCTTTTAAAATTAACATAAATCAATCTAAAAATAATAATCAAATTATTAAAATGTGAGATATTGCCCAAAATAAGCTCACATAAAAAGACAAAAGATATTTAAGAAAGGGAACATCAAAAATATATTTTTTGTTTACCTAAAAACCGTGGTGTCCAAAAATATTTAGCATAATCATTTTGTAACAAAGGAAATCAACTTAACTGGTGAAACCTGTTAAACCTGATCATAAGGATATAAACAGAACAAAAAAAGTTTGTTCCTTACATTAATTACGTAATGTTTATTATTATTATTATTTTAAAGCGACAAATATATAAAAATACAAAACCCTATAACTAGGGATGAGAATTTGGTTCGGAAACCTGAACCGAACCAAAACTCAAACCGAATTAGGTCCGAATAAGCAATTCGATTCGGGTTTCGGGTATTTATATTAGGGTTATTGTCATTGTTGCCCAACAAACTTTAGTATATTGGTTTAAACGGTCCCTCGTGACTATTTTTTGCATTTGAAGGACACAAACTTGTATTTTTAGGTTTTAAAAGGTCATTCTGGAAAATTTGAAGAGGTCACCCGGTGACACCCATCCTAATCAGCAGGTTTAAATGCCAACTTAATTGCCACGTGTAACACCTAATGTAATGCTTTTTTTAGATACCGAATCCAATCAAATCCCTTACCATCTTCCATCTTCACCTGCTCTGATGTTGTCTTCTCCGGCTCCGTCACTGTCTTCTTCGGCTCCAACAATGGCCCTGAAAACGCGCTCCAGTTAGCTATGTCGAGGCTGGAAGATGAGTTTCTTCATATTTTGATCCATAACACAGTCCCTCTCGACATAGATCGACTCTATGGATCGATCCGCAAGGGTTCATTCTCGTTTCCGTCAAACGGGATTGAAATTGGGGACGATTTTGAAAGCTACAGAGAAGATGAAGATGGTGGGAGCGGAAGTGGGTATCATCACGAAAGAGGCCCGAGCTTAGGTGGTGATGTTTTTGTCGATTTGATCCATCCTGTAGCAATCAAGGAGTTGAAAGCCATCGCCGATCGGATGATTAGGTCCGGCTATGAAAAAGAGTGTTGTCAGGTTTACAGTAACGTCCGACGTGATGTCTTAAACGAGTGTTTATCCATTCTAGGAGTTGAAAGGCTTAGTATTAAAGAAGTACAAAAGATTGAATGGAAAATTTTGGATGAGAAAATGAAGAAATGGATTCAAGCGATTAAAATCGTGGTCAAGGTTCTTCTTTTTGGGGAAAAACGATGCAGCTGTTGAATTTTGGGGAATCCGAACTTATCAAAGAAATTAGTTTCGTTGAAACAACAAAAGGATGTGTGATGCAGCTGTTGAATTTTGGGGAAGCAATTGCAATTGGGCAAAGATCTTCAGAAAAACTCTTTCGAATTCTCAACATGTATGACGCGGTTGCAGATGTTTTCCCTGATTTCGAATTTCTTTTCACTTCTGGAGAATTAGTCTGCAACGAGGTGAAGGTGGTTTTAACCGACATATAAAATCAATTCTCTAAATCAAAATGTTTTCGTGAAATCAGTTTCTGAAACCTTTTTTCTAAGATGTTTGCTTAAAATCAATTTGAAAATCAAGTTGTTTTCTTGAAATCGGTTTGTAAACTCCTAAAGTACTCTTTTCTTCCTGAGGAACTGGATGTCGGTGAAGGCGGCCAAGATGACCAAGGTATCACCTTATTATCATCTCTAATCATCTTATCATCTAAATCTGTTTCATCTTCGTCTCCGTCGTAATCATCGTCAAAAACCATATCTCGTGGAGTTGAAGATGATCGCCAAGAACCCATCGATTTATGTGTACCCAAATAAGGGGTAGTGGTGTTGTGATTTTTGGAGGTTGTGAATCAATGGTGGTTTTTGTTGCTATAAGATACCCCACAAATACACCTGGTAATCCACACAAACACACCTGGCAACGATGAGTCGACTCACCACTGAGTCATTGTTGACTCACCTGCCTAGTTGGCAGCCGACATGGCACTGTAACCTTCAAAAATGGGTAAAGGTACCAAATTAACCGGTAAAACACAAGTTAGTACCCTTTAAAGGCAAAAAATAATCACAAGGGACCATTTAAACTAATATACTAAACATTGTTGGGCTACAGTGACAATAATCATTTATATTATGCTTATTTGATTCTCGGGTTATACCCAAATAAAAGCTTATTCGGTTCTAAATACCTGACCTAAATAAGCAATCCTCATCCCTTTCTCTTATCGACAGAAATCAAAATCACGATTCACATTTCTGTCCTCGTCATTTATAAAAAAAAAAAAAAAAAAAAAAAAAAAAAAAAAAAAAACGCTCATTCTCGTCGTTTCAAAATCGACTAATTTTCTCAATTATTTCCAAACTTGAAATCACTTCTGTTGATCCTTCCTATTGTTTCAAACTTTCAAAAATCGACCGTTCCTATTATCTCTAAGGATTCACAAATTCATAATTTATCTAGTCATGGAAAATTAGATGCCAACTCAAGAAACTGAAGTAAGAAATTAATTTTCATTATGTTAATCTACTATGTAAATGCTATTCTTTCAATGTGTTATTGTGTTATGTTAGTCTTTGAATGTTTTACGTTGATGTATAAAAATACATTGTTATTCTATCATTCGGGTTATAGAATCCTAATATGGTTTATTCGGTTTTTTTCAGTTATATTTGGTCATTAATCATCTTTTATATATATATATATATATATATATATATATATATATATATATATATAATATATATATATATATATATATATATATATATATGTTATTCGGGTAACAAATGAACCGAACCGATTAATACCTGAACCGAACCAAACCCGTATTGGTTAATCGGTTCGGTTTTGGTTCATGCAATTACCCTTGTTCGGTTTCGGTCGGTCCGGTTCCGACCCGACTAACATCCCTCCCCATAACCACTAGCCAGGATGAAAAAACAAGGATTACAGATACAGATTACCAGATTTTGCAAATCCGATGTAAATAATTAGAAATAAGTCAACAATTAGACGTGACCTCTCGTTAATGGTATCGGAATTTATCTATAGTTCCCATTTGATCACATTTATTCATGAAATCAATAAATAAATTAAAAAACACGTATTTTTTGTTTGGTGAAACTTATTATTATTTGTTAATACTGACAAAACAGCATATGCATCACGAGGCAATTATTTATCTTTATTCCACTTGATTTTGGGGTCCCAAAAAAAGTCTCAAAAAGATTCTATCACATTCACAATCACACGTGCTTAATAAGATAAGATATAGACCCCCATTCACTTCTGGATCTTAAAAACCCAACACTCAATGAAGACACTCATTATAATCTTTCTTCTTCCATGCATTTTGCTTTTCCTAGGTTACTATGTGTGTTTTTCACGTGTTTTTGTAGGTTTATTTGCTCATTTTATCGATCCATCTTTAAAATATTTTTATTTTTATTTTATGCAGTTCATGCCCAAGTCAACGATGATAACTTTGACCCATATGCAACGTTATTCAGTCCTTATACTAAACAAGAATGGCGATCTTATCAAGAAAAGAAGATCAATGAGGTAAATTAATCGTTGTAAATAATCTTATTGGCTGTTTATGGTTATTGTCTTATTGAACTTTGGTTAATTCAAAATTTTCATATTAGGGACGAAAAACAGAGTTAACTTTCGAGGTAAGTTATGTAAATGGAACAAAAGTCAAAGGGGCAAAACTGTACATAAAGCAACTCACCTCCGATTTCCACTGGGGTTGTGGAATGACTCATAGAATCCTCAACAACACTGCTTACAAAAAATGGTTTGCTTCGAGATTCACAGCTGCAGATTTCCACAATGAGCTCAAATGGTATTGGACTGAAGCAACTCGGGGACAAGAAAACTACGCAGATCCAGACGCCATGATCAAATTTGCAGATGAACACGGGATAATCGTGAGAGGGCATACGATCTTATGGGACGATGTGAAATACAACCAAAAATGGGTGAGAAAATTATCACCTGAACAATTGTTGGAAGCTGCAAACAGAAGAGTTGATTCGGTGGTGAATCGATATAAAGGAAGGTTGATTGGTTGGGATGTGATGAACGAGAATCTGCATCATAACTTCTTCGAGAAGAGACTCGGGAAGAACGCGTCGTCGATGTTTTTCAATCGAGTTCATAAAATTGATCCGAATGCGATTTTGTTCATGAATGAATTTAACACCACTGAACATGTACACGATGAATACGCTCCTCCTGTGAAATACTTGAGAAGGATGAAGAAGATTCAGTCGTTTCCGGGGAATAGCGAGATCAAAATGGGGATAGGGTTGGAATCGCATTATGGGGCTGAGCCGATTGATTTTCATTATGTGAGAAGCTCGCTTGATTCGTTGAGTCAAACGGGTTTACCGATATGGTTGACTGAATTGGATGTTAAAATGGATCCGAACCTTAGAAATTCGAGTGGATTACAGGTGATTTATCTGGAGGAGATACTTCGGGAGTCGTTTTCACATGAAGCTGTGAAGGCGATGATTATATGGACAGGTGCGTCGATTGATGGATGTGATGTGATGTGTATGGCTGATGAGAATTTGGTGAATACGCCAATTGGGGATTTGATTGATGGGTTAATGGAAGAATGGAGAACTGGGGAGATTGAAGCTATGGCGGATTTTAATGGAAGTTGTCAAGTTTCGGTGTTTAATGGTGGGTATGAAGTCAAGGTGGTGGATCCTGTGAGTAATGCTTCTAGTTGCGTGAGTTTGAAGGTGGATAAAGTTAGCATTCCTGATAAAATGGTTCATGTTCAAATTATGGGCTAATTGATACTAGATTTAATAATGTTATTTAATTTGTTCCTTTGGTTTTCAATTTTGGAGCATTTTTTGTGACAAGCATGTGTCAAAAGTTGTATTAAGATTATCTTGATTTGAATGAGATAGAATGAAGGTATTATTTGATAGCATAATTACTTTTGAAAAACTCAAATTATATATTTTTACATATATTATCATTCCCTAGTATTTCTATATGGAATTCCTTATTAAACAACAAGATAATTTTTTTAAGAACTAAAACACATAGAATCCTAACAATCAAACAAAGATAATTTCAAACATGATATTCTTAATGGTGATGGAATAATAATAATGACAAAATTTATATGCTTGTACAAGTCTATTCAACTAACTACATAAGCAACACGTGACACGTGGCAGTTTATGTAGTTAAAGATGAAGATCTTCAATGTCGGTTAATGTAGGAGGTTTCTTGTTGGGCAAATTAATGACAAGCTGTCCACATGCACCACTTATATCTTGTCCCATTTGCTTTCTAACAGTAGTTCGTATATTATAACTACTCCTTAAAATTGTTTGAAACTTTGTGACTTTTTCATCTCCACTAGTCCCAAATTTACTAAGTGTCCCAATTGGATTAAAAGGTATCAAATTTATCACCTACAAAAAAAAAACAATGTTTAAACTTGAAGTTGTCAAAGAGGAACAACATATAGAGTATATTACACTTATGGTCCCTGAATATAGCTGACTTTTTCAAATTTCATCCTTATTTGACTTCTTTTTTTTTTTTTAACTTTTTGGTCCATGACTATACTTTGGTCCCTAAGTATATCTATTTTTGCAATTTTCGTCCCAAAAAGTAGTGTTGCACTTTTCACCCTTATTTGATGTTCTTGTAACATTTTAGTACATGTTTCAAGTAAAATGACTATTTTTGGGGCTTGAGTGCATCTGATTTTCACAATTTTGGTTCCGAAAATATAGTTATTTTGCCTGAAACAGAGACCAAAAACGTTAAATAAGAACCAAAATTGCAAGAGAAAAAGTTTTTGGGACCAAAATTGAAAAAATCAGCAACGCTCAGGGACCAAAATTGTAACTTACTCTAAAAACAAATTTGAATCTCACCACTTCAAATGTGTCAAGCAATCTACCAAGCTGGTGAGCATGCTGCTCCTCATCATTCACACCATCCAGCATTATGTACTCAATGAAAATCTTTTGCTGACTATAAAAGTAAATACCAGAAGGGTATTTTAGTAATTTTACACTTTGAGGAAATTAAAAAAAGAGATACCTTTTCTTTTGATATTCTGCTAGAGAATTCATTAGTTTTTCTAAAGGAAAAGCCCGAGCTGCAGGCATTATCTGGCACCGAATATCTTGAACTGGTGCATGAAGAGACACTGCTAGGTTTATATTTTGTAAGTCACCATGAAGCTTGTTTATTGCATGAATTATTCCAACCTACAAGAAATTATCAGAATGATATATATGAATCAAGAAATGTTCTTAAAAAGACTATATATTGAGGATGTAAAATGGAGCAAACAAAACAAACCGTTGAGACAGTAATTTTCTTAGGTGAAAGCTGAAAAGGGAATGCTGTCATTACTCTAATAGCTTCAACTAAAGCATTGTAGTTGTTTAATGGCTCTCCCATTCCCTGGATACAAGATGATAATATCAGTTGTAGTGACATAAATTTCAAGGAAAATAAGTTTTTTTTTGAGGTATTTACCATGAAAACAACATTGCGAATGGGTGATAATCGAGAAGCATGCACCAATTGTTCTACAATCTCTCCTGTTGAGAGGTTGCTCTTGAATCCCATACTTCCAGTTGCACAGAATGTGCAGCCCATTTTGCATCCAACCTGTTGAAGAGAATGATTTGTGTTGAAGAATCAAGAAATTAAGTTTATTACAGATAGATATACAGCAAAGTGTCGCTTGAATCTATCAACTGAAGAACTCAAATCAGGAAAGAATTTCAGTTTGGAAGGAATGGATGGAGAAAGGGTTTACCTGTGAGGATATGCATAAGGTAGATCTTGGACCACCGAGACGAGGCTTGCCTCCATATTTCCCTAAACGAGTATCGTATCTCATAATCACAGCTTCTACCGATGCTCCATTCTAGAAACAACAAAAATCGGAAAGAAAATAGTGTGAAACCAATGAAACGAGATTATGTATCGCATATTTACACAGTTTAAGATGTACAAATGCAGAATGAGGGAACATACCTGCAATTTAATGAGGAGCTTGGTGGTGATTTGATCAATGGAGTCGAGAACGGAGTCGACGACAGAAGTGCAGGGTTTGAACTTGGAAGAAAGTAACGAGTAAGCTGCGGAAGGCAATGAAGGAATCTCTCGCCATTCACAGTTAGGATTCTGTACGACATATCTACAAAAGTAATTAATCAACCTAACCAATACATTAACCAAAAAAATGAAAAAATCCGGAATTCGTAGGGAAGATGAGAATTTACTTCCAAATTGAAGGGATGAACTGAGTATTGATTCCAGCTTGATCGAATTCAGTTCTAATGAAGGCAGCATCGAACACAGATCGAAACGTCATAGCGAACCTCTTTCTGATTAGAATCAATTCAAGTTTGTTTAAAATTTAGGGTTCATGAAGGACGTACCAGGACCAGCAAACCTGCCCCTTTAACTTTGCTATTAAACACTAAACTTTTATGTTTTCATATAAGACCACCACTCTTTGATCTTATTTCAATTCGACCTCTATAGTTACATCTTGTTGCATTGAGAAAAATGAAAAAGAAAACTGACAAAACTGCAAATTTGGTCTTGTGGTTTGTAAAATTTTTTGGATGGAGTCAAAATGTTTTTAGCTTGTGCAGAAGATCTAAAATCAAGGTTTTTTTTGGGTTTTTGGTCCAAAAAAACTTGAAAAGACGGTTATACCCTTTTACTTTTTATATATATATATATATATATATATATATATATATATATATATATATATATATATATATTTTAAATTTTCAAATACCATTTTAATTTAAAAATAAAAAGAAAAGAAAATAATTATATCCCTTCTTTCTCTCTCTCTCTCTCTCTCTCTCTCTCTCTCTCTCTCTCCCCTTCTTCTTCTTCTTCTTCCACGCTTTTTACTTTCACTTGTAATCAAATGAAAAAAAAATAGATCAGTAAGCAAATCCATGTCAAAATTAGAATAAGAAATTGCCCATTTCTCGACCATCTTTTATTCCCATTTTAATCAAACACCCCCGCCCTCGAGTGAACCGATTGAACCCACCTACCTCATCTATATCTTGTGCCTCGTTGAAAAAACGTGATTCGGTGTCTCCGACGAATTTAAGCCCCTATCACTAACAAGCTAAAACTTGTGGCTCCCCTGATTTGATCTCCATTCCTGCAATTAAAGGGTTTTTTGGTTGTTGGTCTTACCCCTCTTAGTGAAAATCAAAAACCCAGAAGATGAGATGATGTAAACCGAAAACCCAGAAGAATATTTAAACCAAGGGGGGAGAAGATGAAGTGGGTAGGTGAGCGATTTCATCAGAGGGTTTCATTTGTGAGATGTTTGATTTGTAAGATGTATATGCGAGAGGTTTCATTTGCAGGAGAATGCGAGAATGAAGAATATGGGATGGTGGTGTTGAACCTGCATCAACGTATGTGTCTTCGTTATCAGATAATTCGTTAATGATGTTTGTTTTGGGGCAGAACCTGCAATTGTTTATGAACCTCAACACCTGAAACAATATCTAAATCTATAAACATGTGTGTTGAATCTGAAATCAAGAGAGACCTTCTTGCTGCAGCAAGGGAATTTAAGATCAACACATGGATATTGTAACATGTTACACATTATGATGATTTCATTCATGTCGTTGATTGAGATTCTAACAAACCAATCTGTATAATCTTGTAGCCCAGTAGAAAAAATTTGGGTTTTTTTTCCGGATTCGATAAATGAGGAAGAAGAAGAAGAAGAAGAAGAGAGAGAGAGAGAGAGAGAGAGAGAGAGAGAGGATAATACAATTTTTTCTTTTTATTTTTAAGTTAAAATGGTATTATAATAATTGTAAAAAATAAAATAAAAAGGTATAATCGTCTTTTCAAATTTTTTTGGACTAAAAACCCAGAAAAACCTTGATTTTGGACCTTCTGTGCAAGCTGAAAACTTTTTGGACCCCATCCAAAGATTTTTGCAAACCACAAGGACCAAATTTGTAGTTTTGTCAGGAAAATTTTATGTTTAGTTGGAAAGAAGATGTAACTTACAACAAGTTGTAAGTATAATTCGATTTCTTTAACTCTATGTACCACGTAACATTTTTATGCCAAAATTAAGCTTTGATAATACAAGTTATTTTAGAGAAATTAGACACTTTTCGATCAAATATTTCTTATTTAAATGTAAGAAACCTGATATTGTTAAGAGCATGATGTCATGCTCGGTTAAAGCCATTGAAAGCCATAAGTGGCTCAATAACGTGGCAAGGCATAGTTGGAACCAGTAAAAAACACTTGAGCGCAAAGGGACATATTTAGGCAAATCAAAACCTAAGTAAGAAAATAGATAAATGTTCACTTAAAGGTTGAAAGGACCCGGTAAGGGTTCTTACATGTTTTAAACTTTGTTGTAATATGATGAGACTGTATGTTTTAAAATAATCGATATTGTAACATTCGAACTCCCAGGTATATTATTTGTGTGTTTAATTTTCATATTTATTGAGTGACTCGACGAGTTGTGAGTCCAACTCAAGATCTGGTGTCACTATCTATATGGGGATCCGGTGTACCATATACACGGATCATAAGAGCCTGAAGTACTTGATGGATCAACCCAACCTGAATATGCGATAGAGGAGATGGCTGGATGTGGTAAAGGATTATGATTGCGAGATCCTGTACCACCTGGGGAAAGCCAACGTGGTGGTCGATGCTTTGAGTCGTAGGGCGGAGAGTGTTCCGATGCGTGACATTTGTATGAGATTGACAGTGATGACTCCGGTGTTGGACACCATTCGAGGAGCTCAGACTGAGGCCGTTAGACCAGAAAACCAGAAGAGAGAGCGGGTTATCGGGCAAGTATCGGAGTTCGTTATCGATGGTCGGGGGCTTATGACGTTTCAAGGTCGGATTTGGGTGTCGCATGTG